TGCAGTGCTTTAACCCACTGCACCACCAGGGAGGGCCACTATACTAAAAATTTTATCCCAGAATAGGATTTAAATTATTGCCATTGCTATTTATGCTTAGTTACAATATTCTTGAATAAAAACCATCCCAAGAAAGACCCTAAATCTCTATAATTATAGTTCACCTTGTTACTTTGTACTCTTTTTTTCCCCCAATATTCTAAATGGTCCTCACTATAGTCCCCTTCACCTGAGTGGTTATTCTTACTTTTTTTTAAAATTACTTTCCATATGCACTTTTGAAAATGGGGCTATTAGGAAACTGTACGACTGACAAACATTGTAGAGGCCCATGTACTTAACTGCAAGGTACTCATTAGAGAAAGAATATAAAAGGAATCTTAAATTCGTTGAGCTTTAACTTTGAAAATAAAATTTTTGCATTTTCATTTATCAGTTGGACTACATATCACTTATGAACTGTTTAGATTTCACTAAAACTAATTAGCTTTTCAAAACCTTTATTTGATAGCTAAGACAAGTCTATGAAAGCCTCTCAAGATATGAAATTTAAAAAAATACATTCAATATGAAAGTATGCACTACATACTAAATGCAGCAAGTGAGCACTGATTTCATACCAGACAAATAAGCTGAATGTCAAAACACGTTGGCATCAAATACACCATAGCTTTATAACTACCTATCAATTCTGAAGGGATTTTGGTTTTGGTGAAATTTTTTTTATTCTCTGGCCAATCCAGAAAGTTTGAGTAAATTATACAAATAAATAGAGAGCTCAAACAAATAGAGAGCTTTTAAAAATGTGAACAAAGTTTATTTACTGGAATAAAAAAATTAAGTAACGAAAATTCAAAAATCTTGCTTTTCAAATGTTAGAAATGGCCCTAAAATGTTAATGCTAAACTTTAAGTTCCTAACAATGATGAGACTCAATTTTTTATTGTTAATTTCCGAAGGATTTACCATAAAACAACTTTGATGGTTATATGGGTATAAATTCAGAAACAGTTACTCCAGTAGTGAACACTGAGGACTTCTCTGCCTTGGTAAGCTTGCTATCATCATTCTTTCCTTTTATGCTAGCTACCAGTAAATAGGTATTTTAGTAAACCATATGAGTGTGTTATACAAATGAATCACATATAGTTTAAACCTCAATTCAATTTTTCAAAGCAAAAATACTCCAAAGAGAATAAAAGTTTGTTTAAAAAATTAAAACTTGTTTTTTCAGCAGCCTTTGGCAGTCATGTGTTTCATCCAAGCTGATTCTGGATGAGGAACTGAGATTGGTTCTATGACTGACTTGCAGAATGGCTTCATCCACATCCTTAAACAAGCTTTCGTCTGGTTCACTGGTTTTCCAATTATAAAATCTGTACTTTCTCTTTCAACCCCGCGTGTGTGTTGGGGGCGGAAGTGGTAATAAAATCCATACCTTTTATAATGTATGTTATACAAAGAAAAGTAGTAAATTTACTTCAACTAAACTTTTAAGTTGGACTCTGAAAGATGAGTTTAGTCAGTTTCAGGCCTTAGAAATAGATTCTTAGATGCTAATGATAGAGTTTTCATCAATCAAGTAATTGTTTCATCATTGGAGACAAAAATTCCTGTTCATGAAGTATCATTTAAAAGAAACTCAATTCAAATTCACCCAGAATGAACATGTGGCTGATTTTTTCAAGTGAAGAAAATTTCTTCTACAAAACAGTATTTTGGCATAGCAGTTGAGTTTCATTATAAAATATGTACTAAGTCTTAACCTGTCCTATGAGAAAAAAATTGTGCCAAATCTGCTTGAAATTGTTATTTTAGAAATCATAGAGTAATATATCGGGATGTGTAAGAGTGCATAGAGAAGCTTTTAAAAATTAAAAGCAGAAAAAAATGAATATGATTCAAAGCATGGATACTCTTACATGACAATCTACCCACCAAAGGATGACATTGTAATTTTAGTGCACGTAGACACAAGCTCTGTTGCACGCGTCACCTGCTGAGTGGGACGATTCCAGGTGGAAGGTCAAGGACACGAAACCACAGGAACTATTAAGGTGGGTCCTCATCTTGGTAAAAATTAAAATAAAGGTGCTGTGTTTCTTGAGAACTGGCTCCTAAATTTTCATTCTCTATTTCAGAGTGTGGCAATGACATACGTTCAGCAACAGTCAGTTTCTGAAGACTGATGAGGTGTTGAACATGACCTGATAAGATCTGACATGTTTACAAACACATTCTGAAATATCCATATTGCAGTCTATATAAAAATAAAACTGTGAACAGCTGGACAAGAGCACTGATCTACTCGCCGAAGTTTTTTCCAAGTTCCTTGGCATCGAGGATTGCCAATTGCTTGCCAGTGGAGAGTCTGATTTCTGAAATGATATTTTGGAAATGATAGTTTACTAAAAACAAACTGAAGATAGCTCTAATTTACAAAATTATAAATTGAAGCTTTTTTTAGTAATCACACATGGGGTCTTGAAGTGTGTCACAAATTGAAATTTAGGGGGAAAAAAATTGCAATGTTCACTTTACAGGCCCTCCCTGGTGTCCAGGTTAGGACACAACACTGCAAGCTGGCCATAGCCACCTCAGTGCAAGTTTAATCCGCCACCCTGAAGGTGACCCATATGGCGTGGCAGATCTCTCCTGACCCGCCTGCTGCTCCCCTCAGCAGTATACTTCAATCTGCCGGTTCTGCTCCTCACTCTGTCTCTGGTGAATCCTTTCACCGCCTCTTTACCCCTGGCTTACACCCCAGTTCTATATGTATAAATAAATAAATCATAGGGAAAAAAAAAAACACACAATTCTTTAAAAAAAAAAAAAAAGATCACAAACTGAATTCCCTTCTTGGACTCAGTCAAAATAAATTAGTAATGAATCTCTACTTGTGGACACTCTCATGCTGAGAGAATAGTTTGAAGTTATTGTATTCATTTCTCTCATTTGATGTAATCATATATTTAGACAAAGATTCAAGTAAAGAAAAATGATTTCTTGCTTCAAGCATATTTAAATTAGGGGGCTCTACATTAAATGATTTCTTGTAACTATTTTCAACATTTTGATTCCATAATGAACAGGAGAAATGAAAGAGCAAAATCAAATTACTGAAAGATACAAATTAATTTATAAATCCATTAAAAGTCAAAATAAGGATGAAATATTCAGAAAAATACTAAATCTAAACATTTTTCTATTCGATATGAATTCCTCACCTACTTTATTGCTCACATGGTGTACTCAATAGAGAAACTACTAGGTACACGTGACATAAAAGTAAATTCAAGTTATTAAATATTAAAATAAAATACGGGAATGATTAACTGAAAGGTTCATATTTTACTTTCTAATCCGTATTTTTACCAGTTCCACTTCACATACTTAAAACCATAATCCACGAATAATTTGAACTGGTCTTAGTCCAGTAGCATGTTTTGCTAGTCACTTAGTGAAGAATTTCAGATTTAACTAATAAATGTGCAAGGGGCTGGAGCAGATTTCCAGGGCGAAAGAATATTCTCAGGGTCAGTTATTTGGGTCAATCTATAGATGTCTATAGGTTTATTCCTCTGCAAGGCTGAGCCTGCCACTCTCTCAGCTCTGATTTTATGATGATCCCAGGTGATTCTGCAACTTTGCTGTGGCTGTGAATCATCTGAGCAGGGTCAGCATACTAAGACTTTAGCCAAACCCAGTCCACCCCATCTTTTTATTAGTTTGAATTCAGAATGACTTTGACTTTTTTAAAGGATTCAAAAGGTAGAGAAGACTATCGAATTACCTCTGAAAATCATATGAAATTCAAAGCTTACTGTTCCAAAATATCATTTTACTAGGACAAAGCCAAGTTCATCTGTTTATATAGTGTCTATAGCTGTTTTCATCCTATAATGGCAGAGCTAGGTAGCTTAAGAGTCCGTACTGCTCACAAAGCAAAAAAAATACAAACAAACTACTATCTGCCAAATCAACCCAGAAGATTGTTAAATATCCACCCTCAAGATTCTGACTCAGCCACTCTTACTTGGGGCTAAAGAACTGGCATATTTTAAAACATAACCCTAAGTGATTGTGATGTAAGTTGTCTTTAGAACACTGCTTTGGGGTGATAGGGTTTGCAATGGTCACTGGGGTGCTAAGTCTGAACCTGAGAATACACATTTACACATTGTCTCTGACACAGAGCCTCTGAGTCCCATCATGTGAACTGGGCACTGGACCCTGGAAGTGCTGGTGAAATGGCCTCCTTATTTACTATCCCGCTTCCCAGATCATGCTGATCTGTTAAATACTGGTCAGCTGTTCAGAATGCGAACAGGACAGATGTCCCCAAATGAGTAACAAGAATAGTCCACCGACCACTTTCCACCCTTACCCGTCAGAGTCCTGGCCGTCGCCGGAACAACGCAGGCTCACAGAGCTCATTGCAGGAGGCTGACAATCTACACACACCGTGTACCCCTCTCGCAGGTATTGCATCCACCGAGTCAGGGGTCTGTTTTCCATAGCACAGTGATGAGTCAACGATTCTGTCTTGAACTCCACACAGTAGCTAGATCAAAAAAGGGGACAAATCCATTTGCTGTTATTAGAGATGGTCTAATGCTATAAAAAGACTCAGGAAGGGCCCTCCCTGGTGGAGCAGCGGGATAGAGCACGGCACTAAGAAGCTAAAGCCCTTACAGCATGAGCTCGATCCACACCCTGGAAGTGACCCACATGGCGTGGCAGACCTCTCCTGACCTGCCCGCTGCTCCCCTCAGCAGTGTACTTAGTCAGCTGGCCCTGTTCTGCTCCCCACTCTGTCTCTGGTGAATCCTCTCACCACCCCTGCACTTCTGGGCTGTACCCCAGTTCTGTATGCATAAGTAAGTAAATCTTTAAAAAATATAAGTCTCTGGAAGACCATACTCCCCAAAGACTTTTGACAGCCCAGAGCGGGTATAGGACAGGGCATCTTCGAAGGTTGCATACCAGCCTAGAACATCTTGCAACATTTCTTGTTCACTGAATATTGACATCTGACTGACAACTACAGTGAATCTTTTTGCTCTTTTTCAATCCATGAATGAACCATGTCATCGCTAAGAGTTTGCAGAAATTTGAATATCCTATATCCTGTTTACTCAACTAAGTTGTATATGAAAGCATACTTCAGTAGAAAAACAGTCCTTAAACACATGGCTGATATTTTAAAGAATTATGTAAGCTGAATAGACACTTGCTTTAGCCAGAGAACATGTAAACCCCAGGAGTGCAATCCTTGACTCCCAGGCCAGCACCCAAGCTTTTCTGGCCCCAAATATTCCTTATACCCCCACCCATTTCACCAGTCTGATATCGGGTAATGATTAGTGTTTTGGATTGAGGTCAAGCATCAAGGTTAAACCAGGCATCACAGAGGAAAGGGGGAAACTCTGAGACATGTTTTTCTGGAGCAGGGGCCAGTGTCTCCAAAGCCACGAATACTTATGCAACACATGACCAAGCTCTAAAAGCCCCAGGCCATCATCCAGACATGAGTGACTATTTTAGAGTCTTATACTTAAATGCAACACAATTTTACAATCTTTTCGGGAAACTAAACATAGTAAATGCCCCGAGTATTGCATTTTTTCATTCTAACTAAATTATACTGACGTAGTTTCTGACTCATAGAAGTATAAATTGTATTAGTCTAAGCTAAAACTGTTTAAGTTAAAACTGTTTGGAGCATCTGCTCTGAAGAAATAATCAAACATGGCAAATGCTACTTATTAGGTACTTTTCAGAATTGTACCAGCTTAACCCAGACATCTCTTCAGTGATATTGTCTCATTAAATTCTCATAATTACCCCTTTTAGTCAGTAATAGTATTTTTATCTTCTGAGAAGGAATCACTGAAGTAGGATAGGATCCATTTATATATATCTAGGATAAATGGTTAGTGAGTAGCCTGAGGGTCTGAACAGGCAATCACCTGCTGTCCTTATCTGACAGCAGAAAGTGGACTTTAAGTGAGCACAAAGGTGCCTTCCAGCCTGTCCCACTAGGTTTTAATAAGAAACTTTCAGAGCTAGAGATATGGATCACCCCAAACTCATGGAGCTTGACTCCCTGCTCCCGTAGAGACTACAAGGTGCATCTTCAGTATGACTGACAATAACCTCTCATTTTTATATAGCATGTTTCTTGTTGGAGATGAGACCTCAAAAAAAAAAAAAAAATCAAACAAGGAGAGACCAGTACTTTCCCAACTCTTTGTGGGCAGTCATGTTTCATGGAAAGTCAGTGAGGAAGTAACAGGAGAAACCCACCACACCTCTCTGATTTTTGTGGGCTGACCTGACCATACCCATAAACAACTTAAGTTAAAAAAACAAAAGAAAAGAAAACATGGAATTACCCACCTTCCTCTGTGTCTGTTGACTTGACCATACCCATAAACAACTTAAGTTAAAAAAAAGAAAACATGGGGCCCTCCCTGGTGGCGCAGCAGGTTAAAGCACTGCACTGAGAAACTAAAGCCACTTCCGCATGAGTTTGATCCCCGCCTGCCCCGGAGGTGACCACATGGTGCGGCAGACCTCTCCTGACCCGCCCGCTGCTCCCCTCAGCAGTGTACTTCATCGATCTGCTTGTTCTGCTTCCCGCTCTGTCTCTGGTGAATCCTCTCACCCTCCGCATCTCTGGCCTGTACCCCAGTTCTGTATGAATAAATAAATAAATCTTAAAAAAAAAAAAAAAGAAAACATGGAATTACCCAGCTTCCTCTGTGTTGGTAGACCAATGTGGAGATGAAGCTTGTCTTGTTCTTTCCTTGTTGAATGCAGAGGTAGTTATGAAAGCAGGGACTAAAAAGAAGAGAGTCATGTTGAACACATGCAAGCAATTACTCAGAGCTACACTTTCCAAACTGGGCTTCAGACCTGTCTAAATCACCCCATCTCTCAGTCCAAAAATCTGTTGTCTGCTATCGAGAGTGAAATGAAGCTACCTAGAGTTTCCCCAGGACTTAACTCCATCAAGATTGGTGTGTATTCATATCAATAAAGATGGGACTGCAGGTGTTTGACATGCTTTTCACACAATACTAAATAACACTGTGTGAAAAGGAAGCGAAGGGTCAGGAAATACCCCCACAAGGAAATAATAAAGAGTGAGGTAACAGAGACTATGTAGAGAAGTGGGGGAATGTTTTCTTTTTCCTAATGAAAGGAAGAAAAGGAGAAAAACACAGTAAGAACAAAGTAAGTGATTAGAAGGGAAAGGCAGGGAGAAGGAGAGAGGAAGAATATAAATGAGAGAGCCCAGAGACTAGAGGGAGAAAATAACATAAGCAGTAAGAAAGGAAAGGAGGAGGGGGAAAAAAAAAAAAACAGAAGTGGAAGGCCTGGAAGGAGAGCTCCCTGCATCTCCCAGATCCCTGGAAGCTTCCCAGACAACCTTCTGGCTTGGAATGTGATCAGCCAGCACCAAGTTCTCAGGCCAACCTCAGGGCAGGAAAGTCAAAATGTGATCTTTTCTTCTTCCCTTTGTATGTCAAAACCTCCCCCAACTCTGATGTTCTGGTGGGAGAAAAGAAAAGGATGAATTCCATTTCTCTGTTCTCTGCTCTCATCTTTTATTTTCATTTTCTTTGGGTGTCTCCTTCCTATTTCCGATCTCTTAATCTAGGGAGGCATTTTAGCTGTTGCTCTTGAAAGACAAAGTCTGTGGTTTATCACTGCAATCCTCACACATGTACACATTCAATAAACATGTCTGTGACGAATGAATGGGTCACAAGTGAATGAAAGAAGTCATAAGATTGCCTCCAGGCACAGAGGCCTCACTTCCCTGGGTCTCCTGTTCCTATATTGAGTCTTGTGACTGAGATGGCTCAACCGTCCTTCTTAGCTTTTGTTTCAGAAATTGACCATCCCAGAAAGGTACATTCCAGCTGACATGTGATGTCAAAGTCATTCATCAACAAGAACAAAATGGTTGCTTTTATAGATGCTTCTGTTACAGGGTGGTGCCTAGGAAAAGGGGAAGTTCCAGGTTCCCTGCCCCACCCAGAAGGAGGGTGGAGCTGAGCTGAGAAAAAGGAGCGAAGAGAAGGAATCGGAGAAGAAAAGAAGGAAGCTGGATGGAGAACAAGAAGGAGACATGAGGAAGCCGCATGGAGCAGCAAGTATGTGATGAAAAAACTGTGCTTGTTTCCTGACCCTGGACTGGTTAAGGCAGATGTGGGTGAGATACCTGCAGGGAGGTGACTATGGCAGTGTTTATATTGATTTTGATTTTGCTCTTTTCCTACCAGACGAGGCTGGCCATTTTTGACCCTTTTCCATGGGTCCTGGCCAGAAGGTGCTTTAGACTAGTGGCGGGCTTTCAGGCCTTGCTTTGGGCCAATCCCTTTTGGGGATGGGTAACTTCAGGTGTTTGATTTAGAAGTTATATTCTTTGTGTTCCGTATTGTATATTTACTGTATTAAAGTCCCTTTTCATTAAAGTTTTATATGTTTTGTCTTGATGCGGCAGATGGCAGAACCCACTTAGAGCAGGCAGGTTTGGGGCTTCAGGGGTGTCCCTCTCTCCCTGTCCTGTAACACTTCCAGCCTACAGATTCATTTTACCTGCTGGCTCTTTACTGCCACAAGATGGCAGCCCTAATTCTTTCGTAGATTTTCTTAACGAAGGAGTCATTTTTATATTACTGAAGAAATTCAGCAAGAGCGGCTACACAGCCACTTGCTTCTAAGAATGGCAGGTACTATCACTGGCTTGGGGGTCTTGGCACCTAATTTCTCCAGTGTGAAAGTAAGTCACTTCCTCATTCTCGATTGGGCTTTGGGGCTGGCTACACAGCTTCCCTTGCTGCACTGGTGTTAACTGTTCCCACTGAGAACACATCAGGCTTTCTAACTGGTTATAACTTGAACGTCTAAAATCCATAGGCAGAATTAAACAAAACAAGTGAATACACTGAATACACATATGTTAAGATATTTCTGTCTCTTGCATCAAAACACAGAAACATCTAGGTTAGTTTTCATTTCTGTTCTGATACATTGATATATTTATTTACTAAATGGGGAATACATTTACAGCTAAACCCTTGTAGCACTATACTAAACTAAATTTCTATAGTAAACTAAATTTTTCACAATGTTTCTTTAGCTCAAAGCATTTTTCCTAATGTGTCTTGCAATTACTACTACAAAAGTTCAAAGGCAATGGACCTAGTGCATCGCTCAGAAAATACCAGGAGATGAGTAAGGAGGTATATGAATATAGATTTTTATATAAAATCCTTAAAGTTCTATAATAATAAAAATAAAGGCTAACCACTATGCACTTTGAAATTTCCAGATAGAATTCTAAACATTTTTCATGTGTTAAACTCATTTAATTCTCCAAACAATCTTCTGAAAGAGACCCTATTATTCTCCATTTCACACATGAAGAAATGTGGCACTAACAGGTTAAGAAATGTGTTCTGTTATAAAACAATAGTATTTCAATAAAAAAAATTCAAAAAAGAAAATTTAGCATTCAAATGGAAGCTTAAAGTGTATAATACACACTGCATTGCTGACACAAGGTATTCAACTTCTGTCGCCAGATACGGTCCAGATGGAAGGGAAATGCTCTGAAAAAATCAGAATTTCCACACTAACTTATGTTATGACCTCCCTTTTTTTGTATAATCATAATATCAAAATTTTCTGAGCAACCCTCAGTTTACAACTGGATTGTGTTAGCCTCGTAAGGCGCTGCCTGGCCCACGCAAGCAAGCGCTGCCCCAAGACGAGAAATTCCTCTTGAAGTCAAATAATTTTACTATTTGCTGATTAATAAAAGCAATTGGCTGTTATAGCAAAATCAATATTGTAATATGAAGCAGTACTAGAAAACATTCTTTTACTGCCCTTATGGGAACCCAAATCTCCTCACTCTACTATCTCACATAAGACTTCTATTCAGTTTCTAAAGAGCTACTTAAGTTTTCTATTGTTTAATCTTTAAATAAGGAACTTCACCTAAATCTTCCATTCAGTTTTTAAGGAACTACTTAAGCTTTCTATTCAGTTTTTTAGGAATTTTACTGTATCTCTTTTTGTGACTGATTTACAAAAAAATTACTCCACCCTAGCCCTCAATTTTACTTTACCCTCTAGGATATATCAATGAGAAGGAAGGTCATTAAGTAGTAATTAGGGTTTAATGGACTTTATTTTAGCCAATCACCACTGTGGTAAATGTTTTGTCCCAACTTCTGTGACCGGCTGCAAGAAAGAAAGATGGGAGGCAGAAAGGCTGAGCAAGCAGTTTATTGCTCCGGGACAGCAGCTGAGATGGAGCCCCTAGGGTGGGGTCACAGCTACTGCCAACTCAATACGGGGGAAGGGTCTTTTATATAGATCTAGGTTCACATTGCAAAGGTGACTCATCGCTGTGTCCCCTGGTGATAGGCCCAGTTCCTCCCACCTGTATCTCCCGGATGCGAACCTCAGTTGCTATTAGTTTGTTATCCCCTTCAGCTAGACCCATATCAAGCTTGGATGCAAGGCTCAATTCTTTCCTTGTCAGTAAATCTTTGGTTCCCAACAGTAAATATAGCAATGTTAACCTTAAATTTTACAAATTTATGTATCTGTTTTTACTTTAATAAATTAACTTTTAAAATAATATTATAATCTCAGCTGAAGGTCAATACAATGCCAAACTGTTAGAAATAAGATGATCGTTATCTCTCATCCCAATTCAGATGCTAATGTTATCCCACTGCTTGCTTGAAATGTACAAAATATAACTGCTGAGAGCAGAGCAGAAAGACTTGCACCCAGCTCCAATTCCCCTGTCTTCCTCGTGCCAGCTCTTTTTCCCTCTTTAGAAATCTCTGCTCACCAACGCTGCTCCCACTCAAAGGCCCTGCTCTCTGAAAGCCCGTGATCAGAGTCCCTGACACATTGTGCCCAGATTTCCTATGAAAGGAAGAATGTAAATGATCTCTTCAATTTTCCATATTGACTGAATGTTGAGATGACATCAGATATATAGAGGAAAATAAAATATATTATTAAAAATTTTTTAAAAGAAATGTGTTTAAGGTTCATGTCTAAATGATGTCAGTATCAGGCAGTCTCCAAACCCATGCCAAGCTTGACTGCTTCCATTATATTGCAGAGACAAAATTTCATTATTTTACCCAGATTAGTTACTGTAGTTCCTGGAAAAATAAAGTCAATGTCTAAGCAGTAGTCATAGAGAAAATAGCTACACCAGGTTCAAGGTCAGGTCTCTGTGGTCAGCTTTGCTGAGGGTCAAGTCTTTGTGTTCATCGCTCTTGCAGGCATGGGCTTGGTTTGGTAGCAAGTTCTAAGGAGAGGGCATACTTCTCCCAGGTGCCAGTCTTCAATAAAGAGTCCAAGAGCCAGATTTCCTGGAGGTCCCTGAATCAGCACCACTTTTCAATATTCCACACAATTTAGATTTTCATTGCTTAAGAATGGTTAATAACTTAGAAAATATTTTGCCTCCAGTCCCACTCTGCTTATGTGCAAAATCACGTAGCCAGGCACTCCGTAAATCCTGGTTCCCTTCCTTTCTCTTTCCTGGCAACAATATTCAAGTGTAATACATTCTTTGGCAGGCTATTTGACGATTTTTCTGGCATTCTATCAGCCTACTATTGTTCAGTTTTACACAACTTCTACTTCTAAAAGCATGGCACTTATTTTCTTTGAACATGAAAGTCAATTTGCTTTGAGAATTTCACTGAGTCCTCTGACACAAAAGCAGGCTTAGAACCACAGGTTGGTAGACAGTGTGGAAGAGCCTAGGATGCAAGTTTGATAAATGCCACCAGCCTGAAAGTGGAGTTTATTTATATTAATGGATCTTACAGATGAAAATGCATGTAAGCAAGTGTCAGTCTGTGCAATAAACTCAGTGAACTTTTTGGATTAGTCATGATATGCATTAAAGGAAGCAAGAAAAAAGCAATAGTTACTTGATTATAGTAAGTGCAAGTGATTACTTCTGTATGTTTCACCAGTGGCTTTACAAGGCCTTCTATATCTGTATTTTATTACAATTACCTGTGGCTACAATGTGAGCTTTAATGATGACAATTAGCGGGAAACACTAATGGGGGTGGAAGAATGCACATGATTTAGAACCCTGTGCTCCAGGTTTAAGCTCTGGATCTCAGCGGCTGTCACCTCTAAACCCCAGTGTCTTCAGCCTAAGGATACCACCTTCCCTACCTCCATCAGTAGCAGATTAATGGCCCCTAGACCTATCCGTGTCCTAACTCCCTGAACCTCTGGATATGCTGTTACCTGGCAAAGAGGAATTAAGGTTGCAGATGGAATTCAGGCTGTTGCTCACATGACCTTAAAATAGGGAGAATACCCAGGATTATCCAGTGAACCCCATGTCATCACAAGGGTCTTCCAAAGAGTTGGTCAGAGAAATATGTGCATACAGGAGGCACGCACAGAGAAGTGCAAGCTGCTGGCTGGGAGATGGAGCCATCAGGAAAGGAATGTGGGCAACCACAAGATGATGGAAAAAGGAGGAAAACAAATTCTCAACCAGGGCCTCCAGGATGGAAAACAGCCCTCCTGGTAGCTCAATTTCAGCCCAGTGAGTCCCATGTCTGACTTCTGACTACAGATCTAAAAGTAATACATTTGTGTTAAGTCACTAAGTTTGAGGTAAAAGATTACCTCTAGCTTCCTGAAAGAAGTTTCACTCTAGGTATTTTTCTCAGACCATGTTTCCCTGAATTTGAATTTCTTAATTTTAACATCCTTTGCCATTTGGGAAGCTGAGGCTTTCCCAATTAATCAAAGCATGGTTCTATCAAGGTTAAAATTCTTCCTTACATCTTCTCTTTGCTCTCCCATCTCACTGCAGCAAGAAGAAACCAGATCTAACCTTCAACACCTGGACATCTCCTCAGTTAAATATATGCAAGTGCCTCCTTTATGGTTTTACTTTCGTATATAACTGCAGACCAGTGCGGCTAAACTTCCTGTTCTTATATCACAAAGATCCCCTTTCTTTCAGGAAAAGGCAAGGAAGTGGATTTCCTCCTCAAGTCTTCAGAAATAGCCCGGCTCTTCCTTGATCTTAGTCCCTGAGACCCGGGCTGGACTTCTATCCCACTGACCTGCAAGGTAATAAATTTGTGTTGTTTTAGCCACCAAGTTTGTGACAATCTGTACAGAGGTCACAGAGAGCCGATACACTCTTGTGGGGTAACTACGAAGAAGGCATTGACCATATCCACAGAAGCTCTGCTCTGCATCTGTGAAGAACTGGTGTGCCATGGTGCTCTGGGGTGAGGAGGTCTAGTGGAAGAGAGAGGAAGGCCAGTACACATAGCAGCACCCTATGGTCCCATGGGCGCCCTCTCCACACTCCTACACCAACCTGAGCATCCATCTCACAACACTCATTCAGCACCCGAGTTATAGTTATAGTTGTGACACGTTGGTTATTTAAATGTGTGCCTACAGAACTTAGCATGGTGCTGGCCTATCATGTAGATGCTTAGTGAACCTAAAAGTAATAAAACACATAATGACTGCACAGGAAATGGCATGAAACAGACGGGACCCCTGGAAAATCCACACACATGGATTTTCATATTATTGCTTTTCACTTCCCATTTGATTTCCCCTAAAAAAAACATCATTTTCTAAATGCATTCCACAGAACACTAGAGATTGAGGGAAAGGGACCTTCGGGATAGGATCATATAAGTGACTAAAGTGGGAAACACGCTGACCTCTCTCTTGAAGAACGAAAATGCACACTCACATAATAAAGCTTCAGAAAGTGCTTTGGTAGAGAAAATTGTCTAGTTCATTTACCCTACAGCTTGCTAATGAAACCCTTTTTTTGCATTTAAAGAACTGTGCTTTCAAACAAGCAAGCATCCTTTACATGAGCCAAACTGATGTGGGACAGAGTGAGGAGCTAGGAGTGAGGAACCAGGCGTGGTTGCCATCAGGCTTTCTCTAGAGCAGTGTCAGCTCCCCAGTGACCAGCAACCCCCCTGGAGTCTCTGCCACACAGCACAGCACCCCAGTGACTTCCTCTGGGAATCTCATCTGCACACGGCCTCTGCCTGGCCTTGTCCCCTTGGGTGGTGGGTTCCTAGAAGTGGCTACATGTCTCACGCTGTGAGGGGCTTCCCTTCTATCACAATCCTGTCCGAGTACCACCCAGTGATGCTGTAACACTTCTCCTGGTCATTTTCCATCAGCCTCCAAACCCCTGGAACTTTGATACCTCATTTCCAGGTGAGCTGCACTAGCCTCTCTGCCCGGGGAGCTCCATATTTCTCCGCTGCACCTCCATATCCTCAGGGAAATCTGCTCCTGGTCAGCAGAAATCTTTTGACTAACCGTACCCATTGCTCTGACTTGCTTGGTACCAGCTGCACCACACTGCAAGTATAATTTTCCAAGATTAATTTCCTAGGATTATCTGGTTATCATTCTCCTCTCCACAAACACACTAGGCTATGATCTATAAAACAGCAGGCTCCTTGTCCATTTTTCTTACAACTGAGACCCTATTAGCCAGTAAAGTGCTTCACAGCAAGTAAGAAATATTCATGTGTATAATGAAAAAGAATAAAAAGGCATGTCATGTTGGCATGAAAATGTCCAGACTCCTATGAAAGCTTATGCTCTTTGCTACTGAGATGACAGTTTTGCTGTGTCAGTTCCCATCTATTCAATACGGGCACTGGCCCTTCTTTCGTTGTGACTTTCTCACTAACCCAGGCCTATGGCATCCAAAGCCTGGCTCCTTCAACACTCACAGATCCAATAACATTAGCCCTAGTCTAGCTGAGCTGAGATGAGAGAAGCAAGTGTTTTAAAAGGATCACGTTAGCACTGTTAAGAAAGGTATACTACTCCTCCATTTCGCACATGTGCAGAGAGCATTAATAAACAGGAATCACAGTGAAACAGTTGTCCTTCGCAAAGATTCTCAACTGAACCTAAAGTTCTGCGCTCCATCAAGTTCACTGAAGCCCACAATACACATGCCCTTTACACTAAGGGTGACAGCGAAGGAGCCATTGGGTCACAGGCACACCTAGCGCGGAGGTGGGGGACAGGAGACCTCTGTGCAGCTGGCCTGTAATTCCTCCATTAAACATTTCTGATGCTTCTTATCTACTGAGGTGAATCTGGCCCATTCCCTGTTGCTCATGGAACTTACCCCTTACAGCGCATGGCCCTTAATGGACCGAGAAATGGAAAGTCATCAAAGGCAACAGAAGCAGCAACCGTGAAAACTTCCTACCGAAGGCGTGCCCGCAGTCCTGGCCCTGTGGAGTGGAGTAGTCCAGGCAGCCGGCTCTCTCTTCCAGGGGCGGGCAGGGCGTCCCACCGTTCAGCGGCTCCTGCTGCACCGAGCGCCTCCGCATGCGCACTGTAGGCTTGCACTGGCCCCCACAACCACTCCAGGGGCTCCACTCCCCCACGATGCACGGACGAGCTGAAAAACAGCAGCCAGGTACACTCACCTAAGTAAGCCCAGCCTGCACGTCGGGCTGCTCTGACCAGCGTCAGCGGTAGTGTTTAGTCCAGTAAATGGAGTTTTGACTCGCCCTTGTCAGGAGGGACGCGCAAAGCCTCTGCAGGTCCTAGGTGACCCTGACTTCAACCTGCCCTGGTGGTTAACTGATAACTTCTCCCAAGCAGGCGGATATTTCCGGAACAAGAAGGTGGGTCTGAGCCAAAGCCACACCCCAGTCTGTATGCCTTCGGGGTACTTCTTCAACCTCCCAAGGCTTAGGTCAGCTCATGCTTCTGGCTTTCCTTGATTTTAACTCTCTCTTCCACATACCTAGAACACTTTTTATTGTACCAGTAATAAGTATTCATTGGAGAAAACGTAAAGGAAAAAATATTAAAAAGAAAATGTACTTCAGCCACTAAAAATCCCATCACCTACAGAGGTCAATTCTTACCAGCAAACTTTTGTCCATATTTGTAAGGCCACACAAGGGACTTCTCTACAAGAAGCTTCTGAAGCTCTGCCCTCTATTCAGGGTTCATAGATTCCTAACCTAGGAGACTTGTAGTTAGAGATAATGACAAGGGTTCACACAAGTCAAGACTACTCATGATTTCCCATGACCAGGCAGAATCAAGGCAAGGTTTGGGCTTTAGTCAGCTCCTGGCCAGACTGTAAAATCAATGTGGTTGAAAATTTAACTTTCCCATTTAAAGTCCTAACGTGCCTGCCATTCGTGGCAACATGGAGGAAGTTGGAAAGAATTGCACTAAACAAAATAAACCAGAAAGAGAAAGCTAAATACTGGATGGTGTCAGTTATATATATAATACAGCATAACTAAACAAAGGGTCAGACAAAGACAAGCTTTAAACCAACCCTTGAAACTGACCATAGACCAGAGGCATCCAGAGGGGGGTGTTAAGAGGTGTGAAAAGGGGGTGCTGAGGAAGGAGGGCACACTAGACTATTGTGGAGGACTATAGGTGCCTTGGTGGTGGGAGAGAGAAGGAGATCACACTGGAAGGGTGAAATCCTTTGTTGTCAAGAAATTAGCAAGGATGTAAAACAATGGTACCTCATGATAAAAATAATAAGAATGAAGTCCTAATAATGAGTTTTAAAAGTGAATTATTTGGGGACTTGAAATTGTATATATGAACAAGAAGCCAGACAATGTACCTCTGAACTAGATGCCAGACCCCTTCTTTTCCATAAAGTGGGCACCATATGAAGGTAAAAGATAACTAATATTTTCCTTTGCAATCACCTTCATACTTTAGAATTATAGTATCTTCACCAAGAAAGCATCACACTTCTTTGCAGGTTTGATTAGCGCTTCTAGTGGTTTGTATTGGAAAACTTACTTCACTCCTCAGCATATTCTAGTTGATGGTTCATGGCTTTTGATGGACATGTCATTTTGCTACAGGGCACCCCCGTGTGAATTGGGTTGCCCGTCTGTGGGTCTTCACCACACGCTTACAATTCAATCATATTATGTACACACTCAAAAAGGTTAAATAATGGATTTATTTATAAGGAGAAAGGTAAGGGAATAACCCAGGGAAAGAGGGAGAGAAATACAAGTTAACTAGGATATCCTACCAGTTCTTGGATAGGACTCCATCGGCACACTGAAAACATATTGAGAGACAAAACAAAACGATCGGCCATGAACCACCAGGCCAAGAGACCCCCAGAGCCCACATGTCCGGTTTTATCCCAACCTGGCTGCTCAGCTTCACCCTCACGTCCCAGCTTGCTTCTCCTTGGTACTGATGGGATTTGGAGTTCCAGCATCTGGAGTGGGGGCGGAGTCCATGAAACCTGTACCTGTTACAATTTGGCAATGCACAGATAGCCCTACTATGAAAAGGGTGACATGCAACATAAGTATCTGTCAATAATTTAAAATTTTCGCTTTTAAAATATTTTTGTTAACCATCTAAAAATCCCTAGCTGTGGTTAGCTACCTGTTTGAGTACTTTATCTCTTGGGGGAGAGGATGTACTGCATGAACTCCACAAACAGGTTTTATGACTCTATCCTGACCCCAGACTAGAGGTGCAAGACCTCAAGGACTACAAATCCAATAATTCATTCACACAGAAGGGAGGCTTGCTGGGAATTAAGGGTGGAATTAAGCACCAGGCTTGGTATATAACCAGACATATTGGCTTTGGGGTTTCTTGGTCTTTCACTGGCTTTCAGAATGCTATTGGGGTCCTAGCTCAGCAGAACTGGTAGGATGTATTCACCAATTTATCTCTCCTTCCCTCTGTCTCTTTCTCTCTGAGTTATTCCTTTCTTCCATTTCCCCTTTTTGTAAATTAATCCTTTATTAACTTTTGTGTGTGCCTACAGCTGAGTGCCATTGAGAGTCCCTTTAAGCACATGGGTGAGGCCAACTCATTTCACATTGGGGTTGCCCTGTACCACATCCACACTAAAATGAGCCCCATTAAGAATTCCTTCCCTCTATCCACCAAGTGCATATCCTTTGGAAAATCACAAACAAGTCACTTCCTGCCTTTGTCTCATCTCCTTGACGCCCACCCCTTTTTATTTTCACATCCTCATGATTTGATTGGCCCATAGGGCCAGAAGCTACTGAAAGAGATGATAGGGGAGGAGCTGATTAAGAAAGATTCCTTCTCTCCTCAATTATTTTCCCCCCAAATCTGTTTATCTCTGAACTTAGCTAGCTGTGTCCTGGTGTGTTGGACTTGAACAACTTAGCAATACACTTCTAAGTACAGTTGTTTCAAGGATTACCACTTAAGCATCAGCATAAAATAAAATTCTACCATTGCATTAACTCAAAATTTAGTAATATGGCCTTGGTTTACAATGATAGGAGTTAACAATAGGGGGAGTTTTCTAACTGAATTTAATATTCCAGTATTACTATCTTGTATCTAGTGCTTATTATTTTAATTGGGTAGATCCTAAGTTAAGCCCACAAATCACATCATCAGTGAATCAGATATTGTTCCTATTGGCTAAATTTTGTCCTTGGCAAAATGCTGTATCCTGTTTTTCCTGTTTTTCCAGCTCCATAAAGAGAATCAAAAAGTTTTGGAACCCTGAATAACATAATTTCAAAGGTTTCATTGTAATACAAAGTGAAAAATGTTCTCATACAATATATGAGTAAAAAGGTACTCCACAAAATCTTTTGAATTAGAAGACTAAACTGAGATTTTTTATCCTATTCTGCATGAATAATTCTACTCGTGGTTAACTTTTGATTATATTTGGATTGCAATTCATTGTGGATCACAGGAGATCTCTGGTTGTGGAGGTTAGGGGAAGTACAGGAACTCCTGATTTATTACCAGAAAGATTTATTACCAGAAGTCACATGTTACAGCTGCATCACACAAATTTCCTTTTGAACTATTCCATTAGTATTCTGTCCCCTTCCCACTAAAACTCATCTAGTTTACATCTACGCAATGCACATCAAAGTATACTTTCTTAAAATCATGCTTCACATTTACTAGCTATTAGTGGAGCTTGACACTAATACCCAGTGAGCTCTGCATTCTCCTTTGACTCCAAATTGTCACAGATATCTTAATAGTTAGGACTTTATGACATCCCTGCCTTTTGAAAGGCAAGAAGCCTAGATGTAATAAGTGCCAAGAAGCTTGACAAAATCTTTGTTTAAACTCATCATAATAGTCAGGTTGAATTTCTCCAGAAGCTGATCCTGAGCCAGGAGTTTGAATGGAAGTAATTTATTAGAGAGGTGATTCCAAGAAGTATGTAAGAGAATGGAGAAGAACTAGAGAGAAACAGGCATGGAAGAGAACAGAGATGAAGTTGACACCTAAGTTCTGACTATTGGTTCTCCATTCACCGGGAAGTAAGAGCATAGATTAGATCCAGAGTGTAGGCAATTGCTGAGTTCTTCATGATAGGACAGCCTGTCCCCCCTCCTCAGGGGCTTCCTGGTTATGAAACATCCCCAACCCCACAGTCAAAAGGAGAATGGGCAATAAAAGAGTTCAATAACGGATCTGTGCACAACAAAAATAAGGTACATTTTCTCATGTCTTACAGGGCCATCTGGTCACATCCAAGTACAATTACCTTAAAAGATGTAAAAATTTGTGATTTTTAAAAGCACAAATGGGCCCTCCCTGGTGGCACATTTAAGCACAGCACTAAAAAACTAAAGCCACTTCCACATGAGTTTGATTCCCGCCTGCCCCGGAGGAGACCACATGGCGTGGCAGACCTCTCCTGACCCGCCCGCTGCTCCCCTCAGCAGTGTACTTCGAAGATCTTTCTGTTCTGCTCCCCACTCTGCCTTTGGTGAAGGCTCTCGCTGCCTCTGCACCTCTACCCCAGCTCTGTATTCACAAATAAATAAATCTTAAAAAAAAAAAAAGCACAAATGACTTTTAAACTCAGTGGCCTATCATTGATTTGGAATGGAAAAAACCAAACTTCCTGCTGGAGACTACAGGTCCTGTGTGGCCCATGCCTGCCCTTCCTCTCCCACCCAGAGGCCCCTCTCCTGCTCCAAGTTCCAGCCACACTGGCATCTTCACACCTCCATCACACCATGCTCTTTCACACACCGGGACTTCGCTTATGTATTTACTCTGTAAGTTCTCCCCACACTGGGCATGACTGGGTTCAGCTCACCCTTTAGGTTCCAGATGAACTATCTCCTCTGTAGACAGCCTTCCTCTTATCAGCTCAGCTAAGTAGTCTCCCAGGTCTTACACAAGTGCTTACAGACTCACATCCACACACTTCCCCATAAAATTACTTTTTCAGATTTCAATATTCTTTACATTCCAGCATTCCCACAATTTATAATTACATATTTATTGATTTATTGAGGTAACAATGGTTTACAATGTGTATATGATTCAGAGGTATAAGTTCTTACCTCTTCAGATGTACGTTACTACACCAAGCCCACCACCAAACCACCTATAACCCTTCACCTTAGTTCC